GACCAACTTCCTTACACCATATATCAAGATAAGGTCAAAATGGGTTCATGATTTAGACATAAAGGGTAATATTACAAGCAAATTAAGAGTAAGGAAAAGTTCATCTGTCAGATCTATGGAGAATGGAAGAATTTATGACCAAACAAGAGATAGAGAACATTATGAAATGCAAAATGGATAATTTTGATTACATTAAATTAGAAGTTTTTGCACAAACAAAGGGAATGCAACCAAGATTAAAAGGGAAGCATGAAGCTGGGAAACACTTTTTACAGGCAGTGTCTCTGATAGAGGCCTCATTTCTAAAATATATAGAGAACTGAGTCAAATTTATAAGAATACAAGCCATTCCCCAATTGATAAATGGTCAAATGATATGAAAAAGCAGTTTTTAGATGAAGAAATTAAAGTTACGTATAGTCACATGAAAAAATGCTCTAAATCACTACTGATTAGAGAAATACAAATTAAAACAACTCTGAGGTACCACCATCATGCCTATCAGACTGGCTAACATAGCAAAACAGGAAAATGATAAATGTTGGAGAAGATGTGGGAAAACTGTAACACCAATGCATTGTTGGCGGAGTTGTGAAATGATCCAACCATTCTGGACAGCAATTTGGAACTATGACCAAAGGGCTATAAAACCATGCATACCCTATGCTCCAGCAATACTCCACTACTAAGTCTGTATTCCAAAGAGACCATAAAAAAAGGGAAAAGGACCCACATATACAAAAATTTTTATAACAGCTCTTTTCGTGGTGGCAAAGAATTGAAAATTGAGGGAATGCCCTTCAATCAGGAAATGGCTGAACAAACTGCAGTATATGAAAGTAATGGAATTTAAAAAAAAAAAAAAAGAGTAATGGAATACTAATGTTCCATAAGAAATGGTGAACAGGTGGACTTCAGAAAAACCTGGAAAGATCTGTATGAACTAATGCTGAGTGAAGTGAGCAGAACCAGGAGAACACTGTACACAGTAACAGCCACACTGTGCAATGACTTTGTTAGACTTAGCTCTTCTCAGCAATGCAATGATCTTTCTAGGACAATTCCAAAAAACTCATGATGGAAAATGCTATCCACATCCAGAGAAAGAACTATGGAGTCTAAATGCAGATTGAAGCATACTATTTTCTTTTTCGTTTGTTTTTTCTTTCTCATGGTTCTCCCTTTTTGTTCTGATTCTTTTTTCACAACATGACTAATGTGGAAATATGTTCAATATGATTGTACATATATAACCTATATCAGATTGCATGTCATCTTGGGGAGGGGAGGGGAGGGGAAAGAGGGAGAAAAATTTATAACTCAAAATCTTATAAAAGTGAATGTTGAAAACTAAAAATAAATTTAAAATTTTGTATTTTCTTAGCATACATCAGTAGGGGGGAAGATGAAAGAGTACAAGGCCTAGTGCTGGGAGGAAGGGGCAGAGAGTAGAATCTGGAAGACAGGAAGTTTGCCGCACATTCTACAAATGAAGAGTCTACACGTGGCTAATCAGAAATTGACTGGAGGCATCACGTGAAATCAAAAGAGTAAAACACTAAAGTCACGAAATCTAGTTCAAGATGTAGAACACCAGCGAAATAATTGGGTGATTTTAGAACCTTCTCTGGTTCTGTTTTCTCATCTGTAAAACAGAGAGTTGAATTAGATTAGATCTAAGGTTCCTTTCTAGCTCTAAAACCAATTCTGAACAGAGACCCAAAAAAATCTAGAAGGCATTCAGGCTTCAGTCACAGGCTTGGCTCAGAAAACCTCAAAGTTGCCTTCCAACTCAAATTCTAGAATTCTCTGACTAAATAAAAATCCTAAGTCTTAAAAAATAAAAGTGCCATAAAGTCAAATAAGCTTAACCTGATGCCCAAACATTGTACCACTGTGACTCAGATGCCCCCTAAGTACTATTAACAACTCAAACTAAGTGTTATCCAGAAAGGTGCCATTTATTTATCTCCTTACTTACCACTGCTCCCTACTAAGGCTAAATCTGGATGCAAGGACCAATTCAGCTTAAAAATCATAGCTTCCCTGACAACCAGTGGCAAAGAATGAGCCCTTGGCAGCCAGGTGGAAACAAAGAGGAGGGAGTCAAAGGTCACAGTCCTGAGAGTCTAGCATTACCAGATTGCCTGGTTAAGCACTAGGTCCAGAGATTAGGAAGAATTACCTAAGAAGAGCCAAGTGCCACCACTATACACAAGTCATTGCACTAAAATATGTTTTCAAATATTTGGGATGGTGTGGCCATGTAGAACACTACACAATTTGGATCCAACCGTTCTGGAGAACAATTTGGAACTATGCCCAAAGGGCTATAAAAATGTGCATACTCTTTGACCCAGCAATAGCACTTCTAGGACTACATCCCAAAGAGATCCACATGTACAAAAATATTCATAGCAGCTCTTTTTGTGGTGGCAAAGAATTGGAATTTGAGAGGATGCTCATCAACTGGAGAATGGCTGAGCAAGTTGTGGTATATGAATGTAATGGAATACTATTGTGCTATAAGAAATGATGAACAGGCTGACTTCAGAAAAACCTGGAAAGACTTATATGGTCTGATGCTGAGTGAAGTGAGCAGCACCAAGGGAACGCTGTACACAATAACAGCTATGTTGTGCTATGACTAATACTGATAAACTTAACCCTTCTCAGCATTACGAGGATCTAAGACATCCCCAGAGGCCTTGTGATAGAAAATGCTATCCACATCCAAAGAAAGAACTATGGAAGTTGAATCGTTATCATTTTTTTTTCTCTTCTGTTGAGTTTTGTTTCCTCTTTCTAATGGTTCCTCCTATTGGTTTTAATTTTTACTTACAATTTCACTAATGTGAAAATATGTTTAATAGGAATGTAAATATATAGCCTATATGAGATTATGCGCTGTCTTGAGGAGGGTGGTGGGGAGGAAGGGGGAGAAAAATTTTAAACTCAAAAGCATATGGAAGTGATTGTTGATAAATCAAAATAAATTAATAAAATTTAAAAAAAAAAGAAAACTACACAATTTGCTGAAAAATGAAAGAATAAATGCAGAACAAAAAGCAATGATTAAGAAAGGGCTATTTGCCTATGGGAGGGCAGAATTTCAAGAAATACCCAGGCTCCCTTTATGAAAGGAAACAATTTAAACTTGAAAAGCAAGGCTGTACATTCTAGGGGAATGACATGCTTCTAACTGCCAAGGTCTTTTCTGGGCCAGAGGCCATTGAAAGCAACACCACAGGGGACATTCCTGTGAAATTACAAACAAAAACACAGTTCTCAGTGAGCCACTGGATGATAACTAGTTTAGAAGGAAGGAAGAGACTCTCAGGGCGTGTTTCGACTTATAAACAAGTCCAGAATGGAATAGTCCAATAATTAGGAGATAAAACTGATGGCAGTGGTTGTTTATACCAAGTAGGGCCATAGCAACGGAGTCTTCTACTGCTTTTTACAAAGGCAGTCTTGTAAACCAGAGGTATAAAACAGGTCAACAGATTAAAATGTAATTGGGAAATAATGAACAAAATGAATTAAAAAACAGAATATAGACAATGTTAATATGTGGTTTTCTAAGTCATCATGGGGTCTGTGGTTTAGTGCCTCCCCCTCTTTCTTTTTGAGTTAGACACTACTGTTGCAAACCATTAAAGATAATGGCTGAAAAACAGTACTTTTCACAAATGGTTCTAAATAAACTAAGTTTTGAAATTATCAGATATCTGGACACAGGCAAATCATCCTTCCAATGTCAAGCCAACATACTTGCTATGTGAGGTAGATCTGCCCATTGAAGAATTCTGAAAGCCAACAAATTCACTGTAACAGGAATTCAGGAACAAGAATTTCATGATCTTAAGACAAAAAAGGTCTTCTGGAAAATCTCTAGACCAGAGGTTCTTAACCTTTCCTATATCATGTCTAATGAAGCCTATGGACCTCTTCTCAGAATAATGTTTTTAAATGCATAAAATAAAAAATATATACAAAGGAAACCAATTATTTTGAAATAGTGATCAAAATATTTTTTAAACACAAGTTTGTGGATCCCCAGGTTAAGAGCCTTTGTTCTAGTCTAACAGTCCACTCCATGTACAATTCTCTCTTCAGAACCTCTGAACTGTGTTCATCCAGCTTCTGCTTGGACACTTGGAGTGAAGGAAACTCAAAGAGCTGCTAAGTCACTCCAGTTCATTGTTCGGCACCTTCAACCATCATAAAATTACTTGTACTGAAACAAAATCTGCCACCTTGTATCTTCTATCCATTGGCCCTAGTTCTGCCCTTTAGGTCCACAAATGAGAATTCTGCTCCTTCTAGATGATAGCACTTCAAAGGAAGACAGGTATCATGTCACCACTACTGCATACCACACCCCTAGATCTTCTACTCCTCAAGCTAAAAAAACCCCCAAATTCCTTTCATCTGTTCTCACAGTAACTACTTTAAAGTCTCCACACAATCCTATCTGCCCTATGTGGACACATTCCAGCTTACTGGTGTCCATGACAAGATGTAGTATGATGAAGGAAGTCCAACACTCTAGACAGGAACAGAGTAGAGCATGCTAGAATTGTGATCCCATGGCCGTATGAGGTAGTAGAAAGAACACTAGTCTGGATTCATGGAGTTCATTCATGGCCCACGATGGGTAGCTGCATAACACTAAGTCGTCTAACTTCTTGGTACCTCAGTGTCCTCAAATGGAGATAATGTCTGCATCACCTACTGATTCACAGAAAAGCACCTTGGAAATCTGAAAACACTACAAGAAGTGTGAATCATTTGCAGCTATGACACCCAACTGACTGGTCTTGAGACACTTGAGTTTCCAGGTCCCTTTCACACGAATGGCTCTCTAGCCACATCTGCCCATCCTAGCTTTGTGGACTTTGAAGTGCTATATGTGTGTATGATAACAGACATTTAAGAAATATGCCAACCTTCACCGCCAAAGCACATCAGGGTACAACAGAAGCCTCAAAGGATATATTTTCTGCTTCTCTTCATTATACAATACATCCACCAGCTGTATGACGTTTTTGTGCCGTAACCTCCTCAGTAGCTGGATCTCCCTAGAAGAATGGGGGAAAAGAAGCCATTAGCACATCTCTCTACAGAAATGTAAGTACCCATATTACTGAACAAGAGAAGTAATTTGCTAAAGGTGCAACTGTATTTTCAAGTCGCTTGTTTTTTTAAAATTATTTATTAATTTATTTTTGAATCAAGGCCAACATTTGCTCTATCCTCCATGATGACTCTAAATCTGACCAGCGTGCCAAGAGCTGTGGTGTGACTTAGATCGTCTAGCCAAAGATTACAACCTCCAAATACTTACCAAGATCACTGGCACACAGGTTTACCTCCTCAAATAATGCTGTACAGTAATTTAATCCTTCTAAGACTTGTATTCCAATGCACTAGTGCAAGACTAGAGGAGAAAAACTATAGGCAGGGGAAGAAGGAAAAGCTGAGGCCATTGTTGGCCCTCCAACAGCCATACCGCATTGGTGCCGTGGCCCCAATGCGAGTTATTCTTGCCCCTGATGGAGTGTACTCAGAACTGCCAAAAATAGGCTTTGCAAGGGGAGACATTCACTTGCCTACAAGCTTAAACTCGATAGTACCTATGTCTTCATACATATATAAACAACCTTCAACATGCTTCCCCAGCCCCTCCTACTACCAGGAAAAAAAGAAGTTAAAAATTAATAATGATAAAGAGCAGACAGAATAAAATATCTGTTAACAGGTTTCATTTTTAACTGAAAATGATCTAAAATCTGTCCCATAAACCAATCATTACCTACAAAGCAACATTAATTTTTCACTTTAGATAGAGTACAGGCCAGCACTAGAGAGCACTAGACAGGACAGCATGAGGATGGCAGCTGACGTGAAGAGGGGAAAGAAACTTGAGTTAGGGCTCAAACGGCCCAGGCTCAAGGGCTACTTGTGCCACAAACAATAGAACACTGAGCAAATCACTTGTCTTCTCCAGAGCTTCTCCAACGACCTCTAAGTTTCCTTCCAACTCTGACATTCTCTGTTCTATAGTTCCTGCTTCTTAAGTCTGGGTGATTGTGAGAGTCAGTAAGTCACTTTAAACTCTGGTTTGATCCTCTGTAGAATGGAGCTAGCAATGATCTACACATGTAAGACATCAGCATTTCTATATATTACCAACAAGGTCCAGCAGGAAGAAACAGAAAGAGAAATTCCATTTAAAATAATTGCAGACAATATAAAAAGTTGGGAGTCCATCTGCCAACAAATCCAGGAATCATATGAACATAATTATAAAACACTTTTCACACAAATAAAGTCAGATCTAAACAACTGGAGGAATATTAATTGTTCATGAGTAGGCTGAGCCAATGAAACAAAAATGACAATTCTACCTAAAATAATTTGCTTATTCAGTACCATACCAATCAGGTTACCAAAAAATTATCTTGTAGAGGTATAAAAATTAATAACAAAAATCATCTGGAAAAACAAAAGGTCAAGAATATCAAGGGATTAATGGGGAAAAATATAAAGGAAGGTAACTTAGCAGTACCAGGGCTCAAAATGTATTACAAAGCAGTAATCTTCAAAACAATCTAGTACTGGCTAAGAAATAGCTCAGTGGAATAGATAGGTACACAATACACAGTAATAAGTGACCATAGTAATCTAGTATTTGGTAAACACAAAGATCCAAGATTTGGGACAAGAAATTACTATTTGACAAAAACTGCTGTGAAAATTAGAAAGCAATTTGGCAGAAACTAGGTATAGAGCAACATTTCACACCATTTATCCAGATATGCTCAAAATGGGTACATGATTTAGACAAAAAGGGTGACATCATAAGCAAATTGGTAAAACATGGAAAATTTTACCTGTCAGATTTACGGACAAGAATTTATGACCAAATGAGATGGAAAGCACTGCAGGAGGTAAAATGGATACTTTTGATTACATCCAATTAAAAAGTTTTCCCACAAACAAAACCAATGCAGCCAAGATTAAAAGGAAAGCAGAAAACTGGGGGAACAAATTTTACAGCCAGTTTCTCTGATAAAGGCCTCATTTCTCAAATATATAGAGAACTGGGTCAAATCTAAAAGAGTATGAGTCATTCCTCCAATTGATAAATGGTCAAACGATATGAACAGTTTTCCGAAGAAGAAATCAAAGCTTTCATATGAAAAAATACTCTAAGTCACTACTGATTACAGAAATGCAAATTAAAACAACTTTAGGGTACCACCTCACACCTATCACATTGGCTAATGTGACAGAAAAGAAAAATGACAAATGCTGTAGGGGATGTGAAAAAATAGGGACACACTAATATTTTGTTGGTGGAGTTGTAAACTGACCCAACCATTCTAGAGAGCAATTTAGAACTATGGCCAAAGGGCTATAAAACCATGCATACCCTTTGACTCAGCAATACTCTACTTAGGTCTGCACCCCAATAAGAATGAAGAAATGGGAAAAGGACCTATACATACAAAAATATTTATAGTAGCTCTTTCAGTGGTAGCAAAGAATTGGAAATTGAGGGGATGCCTATCAACTGGAGAATGGTTGAATAAGCTGTGATAATATGATCGTGAGAAGATTGTGCAATAAGAAATAATGAGCAGGTTTCAGAAAAACCTGGGAAGACTTACACGAATTGACGCAAAGTGAAGTAAGCAGAACCAAGAGACTATTGTACACAGGAACAGCAATATTGTGCAATGATTAACTGTGAATAACTTATATTCTCAGCAATACAATGATCCAAGACAATTCCAAAATGCTATCCATCTTCAGAGAAAGAACTGATGGATTCTGAATACGGATTGAAGCATACTTTCTTTTACTTTATTTTTCTTGGTTTTTGCTTTTTGGTCTGTGCTTTCTTTTGCAACATGGCTAATATGGAAATGTTTTGCATGACTGTACATGTATCATTAGAGGCAGCTAGGTGGCACAGTGGAGAGTGCTGGGCCTGGAGTCAGGAAAACTCATCTTTCTGAGTTCAAATCCAGCCTCAGACACTAGCTGGGTGACCCTAGGCAAGTCACTTAACCCTATTTGCCTCAGTTCCCTTATCTGTCAAATGAGTTGGAGAAGGAAATGGCAAACCACTCCAGTATCTCTACCAAGAAAACTCCAAATGGGGTCATGAGGAGCTGGACACTACTGAAATGACACCACAAAATGTATAATCTACATCAAATCGCTTGCCTTCTCAAGCAAGAAGAAAGGGGGAAGGGAAAGGTGAGGGAGAGAATTTGGAATTCAAAATTTTACAAAATGAATGTTAAAAAAAAATTTTTACACGTAATTGAGAAAAAAATAAAAATTAAATGTAACAAAACAACACTGACCTTAGCTACACGCAGGATTGCCATGAGAAAAGTACTTTGGAAACTATCAAAATGACAGAAAAATGTGAATTACAATCTTAAGATACCTTCTAACTCTGATAGTTTATATTCAAGATCTAGTTATAGAAATGTGGTAAAATATTCTCAATAAGAGAATTAAAGCTTTATTCATTATTTCACTACTACCCAAATCCTGACAAAATGATGGTGGGAGGAGCTCAGCCATGCTGATCCAACCTAAAAGTTAAACTCTAGGTAGTATCACTATGAAGCTAGATGACTAAACCAAAAACTGGTTTATAAGCTAGATTCACTTGCTATAATAATTTTTGTGCGTACATCCCTTCTTTCATTTTAAATAAGCAAAACAGACTGATGAAATTCATTCCTGCCTGCTTCTGCTTGGGGGGAGGGGTGAGAAGGGGGCACGCACAAGGATCATTTCTGTCTGTTTTAATCTAAGTTTCATGAAGGGATTTGTGAAACAAATATTAAGCCATACCCTGAAAGAAGAAACAGAACAATTTCCCCCAAAACTACTAATTTCCCGTTCCAACATGGACAGATTTAATTGCCCCTTTAGCCAGGAAACACAGTTGGATGTTTTCTAGAAGATAAGTGAGAGAAGCCACCCTACATGTTGAAAAGATACTCTCCAATTTTCTACTCCAGTACATCCTCTACAAGTCTGACACATTGTCTGACTATATTATTTACCCCTGATTCCCTACCCTCATTCAGGCAACTCTCATTGCCTTCAAGATCAAATACAAACCCTTCTGTTTGGCTTTTAAAACTCTTAGCAACCTGACTGCTTTCTACTGTCCCCTACCTCTATCTGCCATCCAGTGAAACTGGCTGGCCTCCATGCTGTTCCTCGAACAAGACACTCCATGTTCTGATGCCTGGCATTTTCACTAGCTGTCCCTCGTGCCTGGAATTCTTTCCCTCCTCATCTCTACCTCCTAACTTCCCTGGCTTCATTCATATTCTCAGCCAAAGTACTACCTTGTACAAGAAGCCTGTCCTATTCCCCCTAAATGTTACTGCCTTTCCTCAGAATGTCAATTATCTCCAATTTATCTTGAATAAAGTTTGTGTATACATAGTTATTTGCACACTGTCTCCTCCATTAGACTTTAAGTTCTATGAAAGAAGGACCTCTTTTGCCTTTCTTTCTTTATAACCCTAGTGCTCAGCACAGTGCCTAGCACTTAATAAATGGGGAAGAAGAAAGGGAAAGAGCATTTATACAGCATCTGGTATATGCCAGGCACTGTACTAAATGCTTTACAAATATCTTTATTTGATCCTCACAAACAATTCTGGAAAGTAGGTGCTGTTATTACCCCCATTTTACAGCTGAGAAAACTGAGGCATACAGAGGTTAAGTAACTTGCCCAGTGCTTTACACAGCTGGTAAGCGTCTGAGTTGGATTTCAACTCAGGTCTTTCCAATTCCAAGCCCAGTGGTCTATTCACTGAGCAAATGTTAGATTAACTCACTGATTTTCAGGGAAGCCTCTTTTCCAGTTCACCACTCATTAGCAACTTGGAACAAAAAGGGAAGTCACTCATGTATAATTGTAAAGGACCTTAGAATTCATGCTGTCAGTTATGTGTGTGTGTGTGTGTGTGTGTGTGTGTGTGTGTGCGCGCGCGCGCGCGCGCGCGCGCCAGTTGTATAAAAAGTCATAAGC